GTTTAGCGGCGGTCGACCAAACGACCGGCTGTTCTTAAAGGTGGGTTAAACATGTTTGGGGTTATCATGCCAGTTTGGAGACATTTAGTCTAGGGAACCGGTTTTCTGAGGTTTATTTGTTGAATGAAGGATGGATAATGATAATACACAGGTTTCCAGGCTCTGAAGAAGGCGATTACGCCGAAACGTAAGTTGATAAGAACTTATTTAACATCTTGGCAGCAGGTTTTTAAAAAAAAGTCTTATAACATCAATGCAAAGCTATGCCAAGATTCATCGAGAGTCGAACATGGGTGTTTCATGTTTCACCTGTAGGGCAGAACTATGACGTTACTTTGTCTAAGCTGCAAAAAGCGGTATGGTGAGGAAAATGGACTCTTCACTCAGAGCCATTTGAGAATAGAGTTGCGAAGTTCGCAAAAGTACAAGAGGGAGCCTCATTTTTGGAAGCCTTTGTTGCAGAGGCATGCACAGTTCTTTTTTTATATATGAAGACTCCTCTCTGCGACGTAAATACCGCATCTTCAAAACTCTCCTGCTGACACACTTAAGCAATGTTATCAATGTCAGTATCTTTACACGTGAAGTGGACGGGTAGTTGACCGACGGCTGTAAGCAACGCATCACTGCGAGCATATGAAAATAACCACTATGCATCGCCACTGGGCGGATGCCCAAGCAGACACAGAAAAGTATTCGCGGGTAGAAAGACTTACAGGGAGTTATAGTTATCTATGCCCAGGAACCCGAAGCAAAAACTATTCCAAACCCAATCCTCGTCAGGGAAACCAATCCCTTTGGTTTCCCCTGGCATAAGAAGGATGAGGGCTTGATGCTTTTCGGACAGCTTCACTATACAATAATTTCTCAGATGACAGTACAGTCGATATGTGACTACTTTCGGCCAAAAAGAAAAAACAGTACATCGGGCATCCTCGGTCATAGCCTAAGTGAAGGAAGTTCGGTCAGTGTAGTACATATTAGTTTTCTATTCCCTTTTCACAGTGTCACTGCAGATTCTAGCATTAGTAACTTTATCTATGGGTATGATTCCTTGCCTGAAGGAACCATTTAGAGACGAATTATTAAAGATGACTTGTAGAATATTCTCAAAATGCTTACGTCATAACTTCAACGTGAATGACACTGGGAGGAATCATCGCCGTTCCACCACCTTTCAGTGAACACGTCTAAATGTTGGAAATTGCAAAGAATTCAGAACCACATTTAAAATGTCCAAGATACGCGGAAGTTATCTTCTTCGTCCATCGTGGATTAAAATGACGTTGTAAAGCTCTTGTAAAAATGTATCTAACTAAGGGCTTTTTGTACTTAGAAAAAACTGTGGCCGGAAAAACGAGGCAGGAAAGCTGATGCTGTCAAAAAGCACCGAGCCTCTTATGAGTACAACCCTTTCTTATATCATTATTCGTGCGCTTTGAACGAAAACATACCCCTGGCGTGAGGTCTGGTGAGGTATATGTGCCAACGTCGGTTTCCCTGAACGGATTTATTATCAGAGTACCATTTGCTAAGACAGTTGCGTTGGCGGACTCGGGAAGAGCAGGTTTGTTGTCCTGAAAATCCACTATACTTTTCGGATTCGATACTTGTTTTAAGGTTTACTACGATTTCATGATTTTTATGGCTCTATTTGATAGCGCAGAAAATATTATTACGACTTTTTATTTCAATTTCGGTTACATCAAGATGACATTCACAGTTTCTTACTTCGAATTCTAAGAGCATCATTTTTAATTGCTACTAGTGAATTACTCAATGAGTTTGATTAAATACACAAAATAGGATTGCTAACCCACCGCTGTAACAAATCCTGAGCATCGTGGATTCTTTTCACCTTCTTGGCAGTACTTGATAAACTCTTCGACACCTGCTTTCCTCACCCGCTTCCAAGTGACGACTTCTTGTGGGAAAAAAATTTTAAGGCGACCTCCAATCTGAATGACGAACAGTCATGACACTTTCAATGATGCCTGGCAATGGCTATCAGCATCGGGCTTAGGGTGACCCGGAAGGAAGTAGCAAACAGTATTTCAGTATCTGGAGAAACAGTCAATTCCCCTACGAATCTCAGAATCCTACTACCTAGAAATAGTAAGTCAAGGTAACGCTCACGCCATGCCTTATCGATGGCATTCCGACTTCGCAAAAATCGCGTAAAATTGTCTCAGAGGTAACTGTACCATATCCTATGTGCCAAATACCAAGTTCACCTACTACCTCTTAGCTTTCATTGGGAAGCCTTTTTTCAAAAGAGGCAAGGTGGTTGATTTCTCGCAATTCCCAAGTAATAACACCTTTATCTGCAACTTGAACGTCACGTAGTAGACAGTACCCAGGAGCTCTTGAACCTAAGCCGACGAATGGTCGAAAAAATAGTCTGACGGTATGTGGCATTCACACAGGCTGTATCCTCTATCCTCGAGTCCTCTTCTGGAACACCAGCAATGCAAGCAATTTCAAGTGGTGCTTGTGAGTTTTGATCAAAATCCCACCTTGAGTGCGTAAAGTGGGTCCGAAAAATGAAAAAAAAAGTTGTAGCCACACCTTCAGCTATAAACGGAACCAATGAAAAAGGGTACGCGGAACTGAACCTGCTATAATCGAAAGAGGGATCAACGGATGAATCCGAATAATCTCTCAATACGATTTGATTTCTCTGAATTCACCCTTTAAAAAGGCTCGACAGCGATGTTAATCGGATTGTTCGACTGCGCGAACGGGTTGATAGACGAACCTCTTCATAGTATGCTTGACTAGATCATTTTTCTCTGGAAGCCACTCAACCGCGACACGACCGGAATCACTCTTAACTGTTCTTATTTTTCATTGTTAACAACTAACTTTTACCTGTGATAACACTAAGAGCTAGGCTACCAACTGAGGGTCAACCTCGCTGGCCCACCAAAGTGATCAAAGCAAATCGGTGCACTTTTATCCCTTTACATTTTTCTTTTGCGCTACAACTTTAGATGATAGGCGCCAAGCCCTTGACTACTATGAGGCTTTTGGTGAAAATAAGAATAAACTTTGAGTGGCTATCGGATGTTTACTAGACCGAAACCATAAAGCCTGTACAAAGAGGCACTCACCATCACCTCATAAACAGCTACATATGATGTTACAAGACCAATTGAAAAGATGAATATGATAATTTGTGACCACATTCCTTAAATAAATAACTTGTTCTAAGGAACTTCATCAGAAGCAAATTCATATCACTTCGTGACACAGTCCATTATTCAAGTAGAAAACAAGCTAAAAACGATATTAATGTTTACAAATTCGAGAAGGGTTCCGTGATGACCACGAACAATCTCCGAGGGGTATAGGATTCAGAAAAAATACAAAAGATAAGAGATCGACAAAATGCTTATAGAGTAAAATGTAAATTAAAGAAAGAGTCTGAAAAATCCATCTAACAGCAGGAAATAGTTTGAAGAAGCTGTAAGGGTAGTCTCAGTAAACTATTTAGTTCTTTTTTTTTTGAATTCTATAAAGATAGAAGGCTAGGTCGAGAACCAGCAAAGAGTCAAGGTTTTAACAAGCTGGTCTTAAAAGCAGAGAATAATAGGTAACCGATTTTCTTGAACAGATGATTGTGAAGGAAATCAATGAGGAAGAATCATTGAGGCTCAGCGCACATTACAATCTTCACCGTCATTTGTTGAGGCTTTATCCTGCATAATTCCAGTTCAATGGGTAGACAGTGAACGAAGAAGTGTTACCAACATTAGCTCTATTAGCGCTAGCTGAAATTATGAAAATTGGAATGTCAGAAAAGAATTAACGAAAGTTCCTACTACGTATTAGGGTGGGAAGATCTTCATCATTAGCGGAAAATCGCTCAATGCAGTTTGTATTCTTTGATAAACTCGTTCTAAATACTTTCAATATAAACACTGCAGTTCATTTTGAAACTGGGCTGGGAAAGCTGTGGAATGAGAACTCTATCAATTTCACACTTTTGCTTCCAGACCATACGCTCATGGGATCCCCAGTTTGAACATTGAATCAGGTACCAACCACAGTGGTTTGGATGGTTCAGAAAGAGTCCATGGCTGTATTCTATGTTTCTTATTGCATGCCTGAGTCACCATCCCAATTGCTGACGTCTGAGCTTGAGTGTAAGGTCCAGCAAATCAACCGTCGTCATACAAGGGGGCTCCTGTGTGTAAGTGCCTTTGTCGAAGGTTGGCTCTCGAGGGATTCATTATGTAGACCTTGCTCTCTCACTCTTCACTGTCTTACCCATTCTCTTACCTTGTAGGCGTTAAAAAGCTCTACTGGGCTAGTGACCCTTCTGTTATTCGGTTATTCTGTTATTAATGCTCCAGAAAATACATATGATGCATTCTGTTCAAAGTTCACGGGCAGGCTAGTTATATAAGCAGCCCAATGTGCAGCCAATCATTATCCGAATTTTTCGTTGATTAATCACNCCTTGCTCTCTCACTCTTCACTGTCTTACCCATTCTCTTACCTTGTAGGCGTTAAAAAGCTCTACTGGGCTAGTGACCCTTCTGTTATTCGGTTATTAATGCTCCAGAAAATACATATGATGACCATTCTGTTCAAAGTTCACGGGCAGGCTAGTTATATAAGCAGCCCAATGTGCAGCCAATCATTATCCGAATTTTTCGTTGATTAATCACTGAAACTGCAACTCGACTCACTGGGTGAGGTGGGGCAGAAATAAGTGGGGATAACACCAGTATAGCCCATGCAACGCACACCCCTAGATCAAGCAAGCCATCCAGTTCTTTGAGGTCAATGAGCTAGTTTCCGATTCTTATCGAATTGCGGAAACGTCAGCCCAAACATGGAAGTAGCCGTTAGTCACTACAATGTCAAATTCGCATTTATCTAAAACTTTTAGTGTCTTGCGCAACTTGGGAAAAGATTGAACAGTAGCGATCCATTGAGCCATGCCTTTTTTAATTATGTGATTTCCAGAACTCTGAGATTTTAAAGGCACGATTCACGACAAAAAAAGTTATTGAGTTCTTACCTCATCAATACTCAGCGGCTCCCATGGCTGGTAGGAGGGACCTTCTTGCTCCCACAATCTCGACGCTTTTGGTTAGGGCATAGCAGAAACCCTGTTGCTGCCGTAATTGGCTTTACCTCCCTCGATCGATGTCACGTTGATGACTGTCGAGGCAATACAGATTGCATTCATTCGTTCTAGGACCCACACAAAATCAGCCGATCGCCGAGTGATGGAGCGATGTTTTTCTCCTATTCTTTTTCCATCTGTTATTCTTTTCGCTGCCGCGATCCCTTATTTAATTTCTTACCCCTAGAGGGAGAAAGGTGAGCTAATTTTGCTGTTATAGGGGTTTTTTGTTTTCTTACGTTTATAAGTGAATGAATTGTTGCTTACCGTAGTCTGTTATTCGCACCAGGACCCTTACGACGTAGTGAAACACATTGTATAGCTCGTCCGAATGCCCCACTCTTCTTCATTTTTCCGGTCTCTTTCTCGTGCAGCCCCCTTTTCAACGGTTTTTCTAAGCATTTTTTTTCACTTTGGAAGCGCCGATACACGCAGTTTCTTCACCTTCACCCGCTACTTTCGATCTTGTCTTCCACTTTTCATCATAATCTGGATGACCCAAAATTATCGTGAACTGTGCCTTTAATATCCAGGAATCACCCCAGGAGCAGGACCCGCGCATTATATCTACCTGATTCACAAATGTAAACTTTCAGTGGAAGGGATGCTTAGCTTTCTCGGTCGCGTTCCACTGTCAACACTCGTGCGACTTGGTGCAAGAAGGGTGAATGCAGCGTACCAAAAATAAACTGCTTCCACAGTTCAATACACGATTAACCGGTTGTGAACGTTCTGCAGCAACAAGCATTACCTAGTCAGTCGATCTGTTCTTATATGATGAACGACACTTTCACGACTAAAGAAAGCAACATGTGTCGATCTCGTACGTATTACAACACACGCGCATCCTAGCGCGTCGATGGAAAACGCGTGGAGCTTAATTCCAACAGGATTTACATGGTTGCGTACATGGGAGGAGCAGATATGGAAAAATAATCCCTGAACCCGAAAAATCTGGCATTCCTATCCAAAAATGCACTCATTTTGCAGGTTTTCAAATTGTTTCAATGATCACTTGTCGTGATTCATAGCAACGATATGAGATTCCGATATGTTCGCCTTTATCTAGCGCATGACCTTTTGAGGACATCGCCGAGTTGCATTACGACTTGAAGATTTCACCGATACTTGAAAAAAGGGATGGACGAGCGCCACCCAAGCACTACGAATGACAGATCGTCGTTTAGATAAATCAATCAAGAGACTTTCATAGCCTATTCACCTTGACACAATGGTCTCGAGGGAAGACGAATAATTGCGCCTAATCCTCTTTCGTCGACTTCTCGTCCACGCTCCCATCACCATCATCTTTTTTTTGACGACATTTCCGGTTAAAGTCTCCATTCTGTCTGGATGTCGGTGATTGTTTCTCTCGTGCTCGTCTGAATTAGCAGATTATTAACATTTTCCGGAAGTCAGGTAGGAATAACTAACTTCTCTAGAGCATCATGTTCTGCTATTGAAGTTACGTGAATGCTACCTTCGAATAATTGGAATTAAAACCTTGTGCGTACAGAGACGTCGTGGTTGTAGGAGGGTGTCTAGTGAGTGTGGTGTACAGCTCCTGGTAAACGTGAGCAACTCCAATATGGGCACTGATGTGTTTTCATCGGGACTCTGGAAATAGTGCTTACGCATTAAGAACAGTTGTGTTGAAGAGCATTTGAATAAATCTAGAGCGTTCCGGGTCTAGTATGTTATAGAGCTTCTGTTTTTGCCTAGCCAACCCCCTGTGTCAAGAAGGAGTCTACCTTCATCACATTGTGATGAAGACTTCGGCTTTGGTGTTGATCTTTGTCATTTTCGGGATGCAAATCCGATTCATCTCCCATCAGAATAATAATAAAGACGTAGTAAATTCTTGAATGGCCTATGCAATGGCTAGCGGTGGCTAGTCGATGTACAAGTTGGAGCTTTTATCCTCTCAGACTGGTCTTAACCAATTAACCCCGGCCAGTCAACCCCGAAGGAGTGAGTTGCTCGATTGGTTGAGCGATCCTAAACTCGAACCGCGGTCCATGCCTAGGAGACAGTGCGACACGTGCCACGACACCGCCTCTGCGACTAAACAATCATCATATACGACTAGCTCATTAATAATCTTGATAGACTTTTGTCATCAGAAGTGAATATATGTTCTACAGGCTCTGTTGGCGGAATTAAGCACTGACTGAGGGTCGATTCCCGGACCTTCGTGTGATATTTTGCACCACTTACTCTTACACCACCTCCACTTTCAAATAGTTTTTCAAGAGAAAGAGTTTGTTCTGCCTCATAGTACCTCAGAGTTGGGTTTGATATACTTTGTTATCACATCTGACGAGTTTGACGCTCTGTTACTCCTGAATAATCTGCCAGTTTCAAAGTGCGTCTGATGTTTGGCTGAATGTGAAAAATGTGATCAAGATAGAAGATATTGCAGGGACGGAAACTTTCTAAAAACGTGTCAAGACGATTAACATCCTTTGTGATTCTGTTCCCGCGGTGTCAGTCTAAGAATAGGCCACGGGACAGTGGTTTTTTCCTTTTCAACTCTGTATCCTTTTCCAGCACAATCGTAACGTTGTTGCCTTCGTGAATTTTTGGAAATCAAGTTCTAAGAATTTTGCCCTACTGCAGCATTCATTCCCAAGCGCTACACTTTCCTTAACAGCTGCTTACACGGATCCATAACTAGGTTTCGTACTCCATCACGATTGCCCACTTAAATGGTCATTTGTTGGTTAATCGTATGGCTCTATTTGTGATTCCTATTACAGTATCAGCATATAAAATCGTCCCCATTGAATAACTGAAAGAAGAGCTAAATGTTCAAGGTGAATTAGCCATGGGTGGTAATCTGTGTAAGGCACGTTGGGCTTAGTCTACAGTGGTTTATCTACGTGGGTGATTTTTTCATAAGGGCCCATATAGGTTCGTCGGAACAGCAGGATTTTACGGTGGTTCCCGAAAGCGACAACATACGCGCATGTTTAATAAACACCTATGTTGTCGGCGTTTGATTGGGTGTGGCCAAGTTTCGAACCGCAGTGTGGCTTTAGTCACACCTGCATGGTTTATGGGAGAGAAGCTGTACCTCTATAATATGATAAAACGGCCGTATCCGGATTTGGTAGTTTTTAGTGCCCCGTTGTTCATAAATAATATTATGCTCCAAATATTTATTGTTTCTTGCTTCGCTATTCTGAGAAGTAATACAGCTTTACGTTCGTTAAGAAGTTTCTCAGTTCTGATCACGAATTTCTCGAGGCCGTTTTTGGCTTCTTTTTGATAACATCTATCGATTAAGAGATGTTGCGATTGCTGTGGATCTCATCATTTCTCGTTATCGCCGCCTCTCGTTCACTTTTGGAACGTGTCAGTGATGGCGGAACAGTCTTTCATCGCTTATTTGTATCTGAGCATAAACTCACTGAGGACGAACTCAAAGGTTATCTGAAGGCCATGGATGAACATTCCGGTATGGTCGAATGTTTCTCTTTGAATTCTTCTCGCCCAAACTGAATTGTATGAAAAACTATAACAGTTTTGGATCAGCTCTGTTTTCTCATATTACCCGATATGATTTGTATATGAAGTCCTGAAATCTTTTGCCGTTGATCAATCTCTCCTGATTGATGCATCCCCTCATTCGAATTCAGATTCGTAGTGGCTCATTAAATGTGTACGTGGCCTACCCAATGGCTTGTGGTGGCCAGCCGACCTGCAAGTTAGTAGTCAATGCTTTTTCTTCCCGGATCTGGTACCAATTACCCGATCAGGAGGAATAGCAGCTTGGCTGGCTCTGGTGCATATCCGGGATTCGATCCCGTTACCTTGCGTATGTGATAGTGCGCCGCGTACCACTACACCACCCCTGCCCATAGTTTTTATAAATTCGATTTATCCTCTATTCGACATTTTTTCTGCGGCTTTTTTTAATAGATGGTATGGCTGCTCAATAATTAATGCGCTCATGAAAGAAGGTGAAAAATAACAGAGAAGTTAGGTTGGTCTAACCAATAATGTTATAGCCGGGAAACATCCTTCCCATCACCTAGATGTGCTTGAATGTCCTCTGGAATGTTGATTCATGCTGGATATAGAGTTAGATTTTTTGTATACTTCCGCCTATCAATTGACCTAGGTTGAAAAATTAAAAACAAAAATTGGCCCCTAATGACGTTGAGAAGAAATATCTCTCCCATTCTGAAGGCATGTCATACATCTGCTTGAATAAAGCACACCTCTTGATTTTCCTAGCACTTTTTCTTACCTTTGTCTTCAACTCAGGTATTCATACAACTTTATTAAACACTGCGGTCCTTCGTTATTCATCCCTTTGCCTCTAATCTTTTTTCCGTTATCTCTACCCTTACTTCTCTAGGACCTCAAACTCGTCGGCTCTGGTTTTTTGCATCCTGGCTGCACATTGAATGCAATGGTTCTCTACTCTTCTCCTGAATCACATCATCTCTATACTCGTCGTCTTCCACTCGCACGCACTGCCTATAACTGATTATATCCTTTGGTCAGGCCCCCACTTTGTCTGTTGAGGATAGCTAATCGGGATTCGTCATAAGTTCCTGGGAGTTTATGTGAATGCAGTGGTCATGGCTGACTCCAAACTCTTCAGAAATCAAACAAAAATCAGAAATGGGGTGAAGCTAAATTCCGCCTAGTTTTCATTATTATGAATTCTATCAATTGCTCTACAACTAGCTGAATCTCGTTCGTTTAGAGTACGTTCCCAAGGAGGTGCAGCAAATATTCAAAAAGGTTAGTTTTAGCCGCTTATCTTATGAAATAGCCATTTTGATACGCAGTGTGGTCAACTATCACACATTTCCAAACCTTAAATGACTGTTACGAAACCACGAGTGTATGAAGAAGCAAACATGAAGCTGACGTAGGTGATTGCGACAAATAGCTTCATATTCGAGATCAACTGTAGAGCAACCACCCTTTACGATTCTCTTGCGAGTTCCCTCACGGTATTACCGTAATCTGTCTGTCAATGAGAAACGGAAGCGGAAAGAAAAGGTGAGAAAAAGTGAAAAGAGAAAAGGAAAAAGTTGAAAATATGCTGAGTGTCTGGCATAGGTATTTGAGATTGGAAAAGCGCGATGTGCCCAAATTTTCATAATTACTGACCTATGTCCACAACCGCCTCTTGGCCCTACTAGTTCACAGCTTGAATGGCGGCTTCGTAAGTAACGAAAAGTAAAGGAGAGAACTAACTTTTAGGCCTGTAAAAATTTTCCCAATCCTACATCGCACTCGAGAATGGTCAAATTGGAGAAACGCTAATTGTTCCACGAGGAAAAGGCTTCTTTCGGTCAAAAAAAAAAGCTAATCTGCTGAGTTGCTGCTGAATCGTCGACGGAAAACTCTTTCATCGAACGTGTCTTTCACGAACGACATTACTGACGATTTCTGACAAAGTTAGAGCTCCACCTGTCATAATCGTTCAAAAAACTGAACCATCTTACTCCCTCCGACTTTTTGAATATGTTCTTTTTCGTATAACTATTTGAACACATATCTTTTTCTTTCGCCATCATAGTTTGTACTTTAGCTGACACCAAGGACAATATCTGATCTCTTAACATTCATCAATGAGGTTCGAGAAGGTTATGTGGATCTTTCAACTGATTCCCGGCATGTCATCGAGCTGATGGAAATGAGGTGAGACTGTTTCGAAGAGGTCACTCCTACATTTTGCACTTTTGCTCGTATTTCTATTCACTGCATACTAGATGTCCAAAACTTTCTTCTCCGTCCTAGCGTTACCTTGTGTAAGTCACGCCTCAAAGAAAAGGTTTAGTTCCTCCCATATAAACTATCATCGAGGCTAGACATGATTTCAAAGAGGTTTTTGAAGTCACCATCCATCTTCACAGATATCTGTCGGATTGATTCAAACCCATTTTCTATTCGAGTAATTCCTCGATTAATGCAGCTTCAAAGCCTGTCAATGTCTATGTCAATCATAAGGAGAAGCGTAGGTCAGCCATTACATAAGCTGCTAGAACTTTAGCATTAAGAAAAAGATGAGAGCCTTTCTTACCTTTAATGGGCAGTGTATTTGCTGCTATTCGGTATAGTTTGCATAGGAAAAATCTGAAATCAGAAATTTCCAAGGCCTACATTGTTCTACTTAATCTGATGCCTTGAGGAGGTCGTTAAGAGCATATGAATTTAATAATCTTAGCCTACCTCGTTGAGTTATAACTCTCTTCAATACAGTAACAATACAGAAACCAATGGAATGTATTACTTTCCTGCGAAATGTAATAGGGCCGAAAGAAATACTGTTAGAAATTATGGGCAGCACCGACCCTGGTGCCCATTCTGTAAAATTAGAGTACCCCGCATTCTCTGGAGATTTGTCGATAAAAAAATGGTTCTTTCAGAATGCCTCAACTAGGCGAAAACCTCAATGCTGCCCTGAGCATGTTGCTATCTACCATCGGTAAAATGCGACCTGCAACCAAGGCAGCTTTTCACAAAGTAGGTTGCACTAAATTCTCCTCTCATGATCTGCTACATGCTGTAGTTGGTTCCTTCAAGAGCAGTTTCTAGCTTGTGATCACCTAATTGTGGCTACCTTGGTATTGAAGGCTAGTATGGAAGTGAGGTGTGGAAAGGTTGTCCCAAACTGTAGCTCTCACAGGCTGTGTTTACTTCATCCATTGTCTTGTGACTAGGATTTCACGTAAATGAACAACCTCGAGAAATTACTATTCTTACGGTATTGGCATATATCCAGCATGTTTGCGATCAATTTCAGTACTGGATAACCTTCTTCGAGTCTCTGGCAGCTCCGATTACGTTACGCTCCACATTCCTTGCCGCTTTCTATGCTGATCTTTTCAAATCATATCAAACCTCAGATGCCGCTACACAAAAGGAGATCTATGAACTCTCTTCGGAAACACATCGACTTCTGAAGAGTTAGTTGTTCCACCAATACTTGTACTGATTTCAAGTTTTTCGAATAAAACGGGGCGGGTGGACGAATTTCATGAGCATATCCGGGTGAACACTAGAAGAGCTACCCACCCAGAATAATTTCGATTTTTTACAAAAAAAGCTAGTCTGCGTTTGCTTGCAGGTGACTTTGCCAAGGCTTTTGCCGAGAAAGCTGAGGAGTTCGCTACTAAAGACTTGAAGGTATTTTCCCAAGTAATTTATCATTTTTACAAAAGCAACGAAGACGAGAGTGCGTGGAATATTACTCGTTCGATAGAGAAAAACTAATTCTTCAGAGAAAATATTCGCCCGACGACCAAGACTCCTTCTGATGACGTTCCCATACAGTAATCACAACCCCATCATGCTCAGTGGAAATGCAGCATTGATCAACTCAGTCAATATTACAGTAGGGTGTATGGTATTCTTCTTAGCGATTTACCAAACTTTCGTTTCGATTCATTTCCTTCGAACAAGTTTTACTTTCCATTGTGATCATTCCTGATATTATAATAAGTCTATTATGGCAATAATATCACTGAGCATGGGTAACACATCTTTTAATCGTCTCGCTTTCACTTGTAGAGTTATTTCTGATGATTTCAATCCATATAATAAAGAGCTACAGTGGGAATGTATGCTTCTAATAGGTAATTGATGAATGTTGTAATAATGTAATACTGTTCAAGTCTGCTCTTCCAGTGATAAACAAGTATGGAAATAGCAGTAAAGTTTTCTAGCGTTGATAACTTTTTCTCTGGAGTACATATGTCCGCGCAATCTGCTTCCACTCAGAACCGTTATGACTGTATTCGTAATTGTTGGATGTTTACTGATGGATTCAAATAGTGCAGGAATCAACGCTTCTGTCCTTTCAAACGAGCCCTGCTCGGCCTGGAAGGCACAGGTCATCCAGACTATGACGAAAAATGAAAGAGAAAATGGAGAATAGTGTGATGGAGAGGAGAAGAAAGAACGCGTATCGGTGTTCCCAGAGGGATGAAAGGCTTCGGAAAAGTCGTTCAAAAAGGGCTGGACGAAAATAAGACCAGAAAAATGAGGTGGAAGGATTGTTTGGACGAGCTGTACAATGTGTGTCATTGCGTACGTATGGGTCCTTTTGCGGATAGCTGACTACAGTGAGTTAAATGCCCCTCAAAATTCATTCACTCGCAAGCATGCTAGCAAAACACTAGTAACATCAAAAATAACCCACCTTTTCATCCTCTTGAGGTAGTAAACTAGGTAGAGGACAGCAGCAGCAAATAGAATTACGAAGTATAGCAGAATTAGAGTTATATCCCACATCACCACCTGATGGTCAGCTAATTGCTTGATGAGTGTGTGGGTCCTGGTGCGAATATTGCAGTCTGTATCGCCTCCACAGATATAACATCGGTCGATGGGCGTGGCACCCGATCGATCTGGTCTGGTATCTATTATGCCCTAGCTCTTATGTTTTTGAACCCGACAGCGGACAGAGGACTGACAGGGCATGCAAGAGGTGTTATCGAGCACAATACTCGCGCTAGGACCCACACGTTCAGCACGCAATCAGCTGATTGCCGAGTGATGAGGCTATCTTCCTCTCCTATTGTGCTATTCTCTGTTATTCTTTTCGCTGCTGTGTTCTTTATCTAGTTTTGTACCTTGAGATGATAAACACCACTCTGCTGCCATTCTACCTAGATACACCGCCCTAATCAGGGCCTCAGCATTGTTGGTATTATATTTGTAGGTATGTATTCTGCTGATGCCCTATTCTACTTATTATTTATTCAAACTCTGGCTTTTGAAACTCGTTTTCTGCCGGGATGCTGCTCCTGCCAATTCCCGTCTGTTTTTTCTTCGTCTGTGATTTTTTTGTTATTTGCTATATTTGAGGCAGTGTGCAGGTATTCTGTTATATCTCGCTTGTTGTCTCTATTACTTGAAGTGCTTCATATGTTTACGTTAAAGTTTCAAATCTCATTGACTACCGCATGGCCCGCCGGCGAGCTACACCCTGTCATGCTCCTGCGACCGCGTGGTAGTGGTATAAAATATGTATTATATTCATTTTGGATTTTTTGGCGCTCTCAATATCAAGCAGCTTTATGACCCTCTAGCAAATTTCGAGAACCAAAAGTGGTGGTCCGAACTTCGTTTGCTTCCAACTGTAGTAATGAGAGAAAAGAAGCCCTTCTGAGGAGAGTGTTGAAGGGGCAAGACCAAGCGTTACCAATTGATAAATTGCACAATCCGGTTGTGATAGTTACCAAACCATTTACTTTGATAGAGTCTCTGCGATGAATGAATTCTGAACGGATCTCGTTTCTGTGTCATTCTCTCTTTTTGGCCGATAAAGAAATGGAAACGAAAGTAGGAGAAAAGTTCTGTGAATACATGCGAGCTTCTCGAACCCTGAACACAGAGCTCCTCTGCAAGGCCGCAGACTATTAGGAAATTGCAAAGGAATACTGCGCCAAGTCATGTGTTCATTGGGAGTGGTATAAATTATTACAGTTTTTACAGGAGGAAATAGAAATACATCCAGAATCAGTCTATGACTTTTTTGATTGTTTTTGATCGTCTTTTGTGGAAATGAGTAGCATCATAACCTTCGATAATGGTTTCGCACTCTGAGGTGAAATAGTTGTTCTAAGGTGGAAACACTTTGTATTATTTCAAGCCAAAGGAGTGACAGTTATGTAGGTTTCGAAAACGAGTACCTCCTGAGTGTGTCCTTGTTCGCGAACATTATTGGATAGGTCACCCTAGTTCAGACTTACTGCCGGTAGAACATGGGTAGGTTAAAGGAACGGCGGAAAAAGAGGCAAGAGCAGATACTCAACAGAAAACATACGGAGAACAGAGGCGTTTCTTCCACGAGACAAAACGGCGACGAACTTTCCTTGCTTGGCAATTAAACTAGATTGGTGGAAATTCGTGATTGAGTGGAGATTTAAGAACTCGATCATCTTTTGAATTCATAATCAGCAGCCAGAGGCAAACCGCATCTTACAATTCTCCCTGCGGGATGGAGAAGCAGCTGCCCTCAGTCTGCCCACTTCATCTTATGCTCAAACTGCTTCTTATTGATGGCACATTTGAGAAATGGACTGTACTTCCACAAAAAGGCGCGCCACTTTAGGAATACCTTCGAATGGATTCATGGTTGGGAAGAAAGCGCTTGTAAATAAATCTGGATGTTCACATGAAAATGATTCTCGGTGAGCCTGATATCGGGGACTGCCAATTTCCAGTATTCCCATTGAATTATTTCAAGAGAACGACAAAGGAAATAGCTTTTCATGCATTTGACTTGTATTATTGTAGATACTTTTCGAAGAATCTCTTCTCATTCTATCTTTTTAGCCCTACAAAGAAAGCAGAGGAATCGAAAGCTGATGAGAGGTTCTGAGTTGACATGCTACTACCTTGAGCTACAGCCAAAAAGTTCCACTGCAGGGCATCAAACTTTGGTCACTGCTGAAAAAAGGGCTGAATTCATGTATTCCTCTCTTAGTTGCTTATGTCTGTCTATGTGAGCAGGTGACTTTGGAAATCCTAGTCCGTGCCCCTGTATACATCTTTTGTTGCGTTTAGACTTTCAGCCTTCACCCAGTAATAGCCGTGTCCGATTACAATGTGTGTTGGAGGCTCAGTTTATCATCGAATCTATTCCAACTCATCGAGGAACATTTTGAAGAGGTGCTCAGNCTCCTCCTACCAATGCTGAGGAGCTTCCAAATTGAAGGAGGTCTGACATGTCGTTTCGAATTTTGTAGGAATTTCGTAGTAGCCTAATGCATGTACTGCAACTAAATTACCTAGCTTCTCTCCAGCTACTGATACCTTCGCAGTCGCAAATCAGAATAAATGTCCTTTCGGGTTTCGTTTAAGAGAGTGATATAAACGGAAACCAAAGACAGATTGTTGAGAAGTATTTATTTCAATGCGACAGGTATCTGACACCTGTTACTCGCAAAGACCACACGACTTAGCACAGTACTCCTTCGCAATCGCGTGATAGTTAGGGGTTATGCATGGAGGCTCATTGTCTTCTGCTTGAGGTGTTTGCATGTATTTACAGAACCTTTCGCCTGCTTTCGTCTCCGCCGCTTTATCCACGCACGGCTGAAAAGATCAAGTGAGACGGGAATGAACTACATTCCATAATTACACTTTGTTTGTTACAACTTCTACGAAAGCGGGTCGGCTGTATTTCCTACAGAATAAATATCCAGAATACAATACAAGCCTCTTTTAATATTGCTAATCGCTGCTGTATATGATAACTCACTTCCGCTACACTTGTGAAGGCGTTGAGTAGGGCAAGAGCGCAGACTAAGTAAAAGAACATTTCGAATGTTGTTGGAGAAGTGATAAACTGCGGTAATCCCACATCATTTATACTGAGCCATGAGCGATCCTCTGATCAAAGTTGGGACTGTGTAAACGAACTCCAAAGTGCTGATGAAACTCTTCGCAAATAATTTCCAATCTAACACGGTGCTGTGGGATACTTCTGAAAAACGATACCTGCACAAACATAAATCATACTAGTCATGCGAATTGAAATCATTCTAACTGTAGAAGCTGAAATTTGCTTGATTCTTGATCGAAAGCTTATCCGTGTTATCATTAAAGCCTTCAAAGGTCAAATAGAGTTTATCTCAGTGAAAATAGAGGACCAAACTTGCAATGGTAGCTTTCTTCCACCTGCTAGACATCCATTTCTATGCTTAGTAGACAAAGTGTGTGGAATAGATTTAGAGAGAGGCAGTTTGTGATCATTTAGTCCCATTATACTGTCCTCACTAATATAATCGCACTGCAACAATGGCTGCATAACCGAATGATTGAATCTCGGAATGATTTTGTCTCTTTAAGATAAGAAGTAGTACCCTCCCGAAGTAGTTCATACCATTCAAGTTAATTTTACAAATGTATCACTGAAGTTAAAGCTTCTTCGTGGTCAGGTTAGAGCAGTTCCGAACGTAGAGCCGTCAATTGCTAAACATTCTGTATACGTAATAAAAAAGCTCACAATTCACAAAGTTTGCACTTTCCCATTGTATAATATCATTTTCTGACACAAAAAGGTAGAACAATGGCCAATTGTACAGTATTTGCGAGAACCCTCATCTGCTTGACCAAATTCGTTCACTGTGAACTGTCTTTCTGAAAAAATCTTTTAATTCAGTATAAATTGTTCCAGACCACTGAACCTTGTCACAGTTCTAGCGGCATCCAAAATGTTCTTCTACATTGTTTGCACAATTGTTCTCCTCAACGCCTTCACAAGTGAAGCGGAAGTAAGTTATCATATTCAGCAGCGATAAGCAATACTAAAGGAGGCTTGTGTTGAATTTTGGATGCTTACTCCATAGGGAATACACCAGACCCGCTTTGGTAGAGGTTGTAACAAACAAAGTGTAATTATGGAATGTAGTTCATTCCCGTCTCACTTGATCTTTTCAGCCGTGCGTGGATAAAGCGGCGGAGACGAAAGCAGGCGAAAGGTTCTGTAAATACATGCAAACACCTCAAGCAGAAGACAATGAGCCTCCATGCATAACCCCAAACTATCATGCGATCGCGAAGGAATACTGTGCTAAGTCCTGTGGTCTTTGTTAGTACATGTGTCAGATATTTGCTGCATTGAAATAAACTTCTCTTAAACGAAGCCCGAAAGAATGTCAGCTTCAATTTCTCTCTTGCGAAGGTGCTTGTAGGTGAGGCGAAACCAGGTTATTTAGGTTGCATACATTAGGCTACTTCGAAATCCCCATGAAATTCGAAACGACGTGCCAGATCTCCATCAATTTGG